AGATAGACCGGCCGGTGATCAAGTCCAGCCCCCTATCGCCAGCACACAGGAGTAAAACTACTCCGGAAATCAGCGTCACCCCTACACGGGCGCGCACCAGGAAGCAAGACTGGAGAGGATCCAAACACAAGCAACTAGCTAGCAACGACTCTCCAGTCTAAAGGAAACACAGCACAAAACAAGACAACACACACGAGACATCGCATCGCTTCGCGATCCCGATTCGATCTCCATCGCGCTCCATTTACGTGGGCCTCCAGTGCCTATGATGCCCTCTTCCACCAAATTGCAAACAAAAATTGTTTGAAAACTTTTTGTTTTTTTGTTTTTTTGTTTTTTTTTTGTTTTTTTGTTTTTCTTTTTCTCCTTCACACAGGGGTCACACTGCCCCTCAACAAACACACTACACACTGAAAGCTCAATATATTGACTTCGTCATATATATATTTACAATGCTTTCAAAACATCACGTCACAGGTAGTGAAACCGGGTGCAAACTCCCGATCCCTTCAGGAACTCCTATCTAAACGCTACAAGTATTTGCTATCAATCCTTTGGGAGACTATCAAGAAATTTCTCTAGTACAAGAATTTCTTCTGAAAGACAATCTTGAACATACTGAACATCTCTCAAATGGTCAGCAATATCCTGTGGAAGGTCTAGTAACTCATCCTCACATACCCTATACTCTAGGCCGGATTCCTCTAGAAGTTTCTCTACGGCTAGTGCCTCGTCCCAATCTAACCCGGAATCTTTTTTTTCTGCCACAACAGTGTTTACCGGATTCTCTTCTACTTGAGGCTGCACCGTCACTTCCTGCTCACGTTGCTCGCTGCTGACGACCTCCACTGGCTGAATCTCTGGTAAACTTTCTCCCACTTTCTCACCAAGCGGCATTTTCTCTTCACAAGTCAAAACTCCACTGTGTACAAGGATTGTTTACAGAGCATCTGTAAACTAAATCTGAAGAGAAAACTAAAAATTGTTTAACTCCAAAACTATCACAAAGTTTTAGAAGAGCACCAAAAACTTTTTACTGTAAAGTATCACTCATGGATATTTACCACAGTAAAAAAAATGAAAGGAACTGTGAAACTTGTATAAAGTTAACCTCCTTCTATGAACAGCTAAAGCAATTTGTTTATCTCTACCGGTTTTCAAGCACTGTGCATAGCCTGAAACCACAAAGAGACCTCTTGCTATCTTGTAGAACTAAGACATAAGAATTTTCATCACACCTCAGTTGTACATCACTAAAGTTTCTGGAGAACGTACTGAACTGTAAACTTCATATGTCTATGTCCCACCTCAGAAATCTTATATCCTTCTAGTGGGACCTCTTTGTCGGAAGTGTAAAGCTTCTAAATTCGATGATTCACAGGTTAACATCCAATCAACGAATATTCTTCCTTCCCGTATTGAAAGAGTGTGAGAAGAGTTCAAACTACCCTATAGGATAAAAGAAAATAGCAGCTGTAAACAACTATTTGTCCTGAGGTCCTCCGGGTGTTACCATAGGTGTCAGAAAAGTTACCACAGGGTGGTTTTAGAAGAACACTGACGACAGGATGATGGTCAATATTTCGCGCTACAATCAAAGATATATATGGGCACTTCAAAGTGGTTTCTGTTCCTCTCGTAGGCCCTTCCGACCATCGGATAGAAAATTTACAGTTGCAAATCTCCACACGGTCAAGCCTCTCATGGGCCGCCTTTACCACCTTTGTGACGACCCCGTCATAATACTTGCATTCAGAGCCGTCGGGGGACTTGTAATTAGCGCAAACGGTTAAGCCTTGGCAACCTTGAAGCAATCCTTGTCTTCGTCAAACCTTCAAACCTGAAAATCGACACATCCCCGGAGACTCTGTTACACATTCTCTCTGGTGCCGCTGAGTACGACGAATTGCCTGTCCTCCACAATGAGGAAAATTTCAATGAAGGTCTTGCGGAACACGTTAGGTACGCCGTGGACAATCGCTTGCTCGATGATCCCCACGTGAAGACAAACTTACTTCTTCAGGCCCATTTTACCAGACTTGAGCTTCCAATCAGTGATTACATAACTGATACCAAATCCGTACTGGATCAGAGTATCTGTATATTGCAAGCTATGGTCGATGTATCAGCCAACAGTGGGTGGCTCCAGACCTCACTTAACACCATGCACCTTTTACAAATGGTGATGCAGGTGGGTACCACAAAAGGCCTTTGGGATGATGTGTCCCCACTGTTAATGCTACCACACGTGGACGAAGTAGTTATGAAAACTCTTGCGCAAAGAGGAATCACTACGTTGCCGAAACTGTTGTCATCTTCAGCAGATTTTATAAGGAAACTCTCAGTTCTGTTCTCTCACAGTCTGAGTTGACAAAGCTAGTCCTGGTCTGGTCTCGACTTCCTCGAGTTGATGTGAAGTGGAGAGTAGTCAGAAGACCTGGGCCATCCGAAAGCTCACTGCAAGTTGAAGTGCGATTGGTGAGAAGGACCCAGTCTGCAGGTTCAAGTGCTAGGACAGGAGGCAGGGAAGACGAATGTTGTCAATCCGGTTAACATCGACGAGACAAGAGGTCAAAAGATGGCTCAACCTACACCAGGGCAGACGCATGCATTTACGGGAACAGTGACTAAGCACAACGTGAGATCTACAGTTACGGATCGTGCAGGAATTGCATCAGACCCAAATTCTAGGCCCACTAATCGAAGTGGCACAGGAACCGTAACAGATCGGATGGTAAAGATTGTTACTGCAGGTACGTCAGGCGCTATGATAGGGTTCTGAGGTCACTCGGCCTGCAGGGGTCGAAAAAGCGGGAGGCCCTATACAGTATAACTCAAGTATTGCAGAAACATCCACCTATCGAGGACGAGGACATAGACGAAAACGAAGACTAAACTGTGGAAGTTGAGGGGCTGCATTGGGCTTCGATCGTGAGAGTGGCAAGCATGGGATCCAAGAAGATGCACTTCCTGGCCTGGTGCCTAATGGCGATGGCACTCGTCAGCGTCGTGTCTGGGTACGCTCATCCACAGCCCAAGAAACCTGTGTACCGGGCCAAGAAACGCCAGCCAGCAGCTCACTTCTGCGCAGCGTGTGGCCTGTTCGTGAAGAAGACTTACTACTACGGCAGCTGGGCACCGTACCCGAAGTACCACTCGCTCTGCTGCGCACTCATGTGCAAGGAATCCACCACCTGCCAGGGCCGAGTCCTGCAGCCTCCCCCTTACGTCTGCCTGCTCCCAAGCGGAACCTCGAGCACTTCGGCTCCTCCCGCTCGCAACTTGGCAGACGCGGGCCTGGCCCCGGCCCGGCCTGCTCGCCCTCCTCTCCTCTCGCTACGGCAGCAAGTCTGCGTGCTCGACGTCGAGCGGCCTGTGCTCCGCTGTCCTGAGTGCTCCCGTCCACCCAGAAAGGCCGTTGTTAAAGAACCTTGTTCCAAATTTCTGTTGGTCAAACGTCGAGATGGAGCACATGTTCCTACCAAGCTAGAAAGTTCAATGGGTGCTTACTGACGCGTTCATTGCGACATCAAAACTTAGTCAAGATACTGATGAACCAGAACGTATCAACCTTGTCAATTCTGATCCAATCCGACGAATTGATCGAACACGAGTATCAAATCTGTCCAATCCTGCTTTTCGAATCCAACAGATTTCACCTTAGCTCCGAAAATCAACTCCCTAGAACCCGAGTTCTTCGAGCGAAAAGAACGGGAAAGTCCCCACTGGAATTCCCGTCGGTCAATTACCCTACTGGCAACAAACCGTCACCGTCACAAACATGAGTCAAGCCCAACCCACTCCACACTCGGAGAATCCAGGTCGACGCAAATGGGAAAGTCACTCTACGCTCCCAACGCTTCCAGGCTCGACTCGAAAAACTAACGTTCTTCGAGCCGTCCCCGACTCTATACCTCTCGTGACCGAACCCTAACTTCACCTCTAAAGATAGTAAGTGACTAAACTGCGTGGGCCGACTCGTAACTACATGACAATTGATTGGATGATGCAGTAGTTAAAGAAATTGAATACTTTCACAATATATATATATATACAAACAACAGATTGAAAATTTATATATTTAGAATCAAATTTATCCTTTTATCATAATTTATATTATAAAAAATATCAAAATTTATTCAATTTTGCTTGGAATATATTTATCAAGCTTTTTTTTTACATTACTTTATCATATTTAAGATAATTTGATTCCAAATTTTTTGACCAATAAAGACATATTGATCAAGATTTTAAATCCTTTCATTCGATGATCTTCATGAAATGATTGATATATATATAATTATTTATAAAATGTAAGATATTAAAAAGAAAGATATCTTAATAAGTGAAGATTCTAAATTTCAAATACCATGATGTAATGAACAACGAAGAGAGTATAGTGAAATTGATAAACTCAGATTCCTTTAAGGTTTTGAATCATTTAAACCATAAGTGCTGAATGATTTTGAATTATTGAGACAAGAAATTGAAAATAGACAAGATGAGAAATTGAAAAGAGATGGGGGACCATGTACATATAGAAAACGATTGAAAATACCTCATCAACCAAGAAAGAAATACAACTGATATATATCGAACGTGAAAGTATCTAAATGAAATGTATATCATATAAAAACTATTAAGTTTGAAAAATCACCGAAAAAGGATATTGATCATAGAAACCAAAAAGAAAAAAAGAAGAGTTGTCAATACTTGTAACTATTATATATCAAGAAGACAAAATCAGAAGTCATGAAATTACATCAAACTTCACAAATTTGCAATAAAACAAGACACCATCTCAACAAGATCAATCAGAGGCTTCACGGTTCCACTCCTGAAACGAGTCTGAATCCGGATGACCGGAGGGCTGTACCGTAGCAGTTCCTTGTCTGTTGTGTTGCCCCAAGGCCAAGGATTGTAGCAACATAGCACCTCGAGGCAGTGACTTCTTGGCTTGCCGAAGGACACGTGTCTTGAAGAGCACCCGAGCATTTCCGTTTGCGCCAAGACGGGCGCGGGACGGGAGTGCGCTTTCTACGCAGAGCAGTATTGGCTACGTTTGAATGAGAATCCGGTCGCGACCCGGCGCTCTGGCCGAAGGATCGACCAGCAATGCGAAGAGCAGAGCGTTTGTACAGCTCGTCGAGTGGATTGTATCGTCGCATTCTGCCTTCGGTGGGAGAGTGGTGGTCATTTTCTGCCGAAGGATCATGATTGTGAACTTAGCTTCTGATCGCTGTAGAGCTTCGAAAGACGGAATCTGGGTATCTTTGGGCTGGAGGTTTGTCTGACTTTGAATCTGTGATAGAATTCGTCGGAGTTCGTTGAGGAGACTATTGTTCATCTACGCCATGACGATGGAGGAAGGGCAAGATGATGAGCGTCGTCGCCGGCACTCGAAGCCGGTTGCCGACAAGGCTGTTGCGGGCTGGGGTTCGGCCTTGGTCGCTGGTTTCATCGCTGCCGCCGTGGTAACTTTCTGGTTTGTTGATTCAGGCTAGATCCTCGCTGTAAGCCGGAATCATCCATGAAACTTCATTGACCTTGTTGTAGAGATGTGTCGGCGCATCTCCATCTGCCTGTGTGGCATCTTGTGAATGCCGTAGATACTGTAATGGATCAAAAGGAGGTTCTGCAGCCCAGGAGCGTGATTGGTCATGTCTCCAAATTACTCGGAACGTAATTGTTTCCTGTCTTCTAAAGTATTGGTGCAGCCTCGCGAAAAATGTTCAAAGCATGGTTGCGAAATATGACTTTGTGGATAGTAGCTCACTCTGCATTTTGTTATACCTCTTTTATTAGCCATTTTTATGAACATCTTTGTGCTTGTTATTATATTATGCAGACAGTTGGATTATCAAGCTCTTTGTCTTACGAGCTTTCGTACTGTCCCTATCCTTCGAACGGAATAATTTTAAAATTACTTAGTGCGGACGGAGTGAAGGAGATGGGATGTATCTACAGCTGATAGCGATTGTGTTTGTTCATGATCTTTGCAGTTTGCTAAGTTCTTAGCACGCTCATTTTTTTGTTAAGGTCCTAAATAGTGAACCAAACTTTGAGCAAAGCCAAAGCACTCTCCTTGTTTCTTATGCCCAGCACAACTCTCTCTATGTTCTGCGCAGATAGGGAATGTGCTTTCTCTTCGGCGGCGACTCGCAAATGTTCACAAGGCATCTACCCAGGTACTTCTCTATCCTTTTTTTGAATTTCATGAGAAAGTCTTTTGCCAAAATAGGTTCAACGAGGCAGGGGTAGAACTTGCTTTGCAGTTCCTGGGCACACCCATACAGCAACTCACCAGGCACGCTCGTAGTTGCCCTCTGGAATTTGGAGAAAAGGGCAGTTCATGTGGATTTTGTCAAATTCAGCTAACAACGTATCTACCAACATGTGCTGTTGGAAGGGCAACAGGTCAAGGCCTGGTGCAAATTCGAGGCAAGGTACAAACCCTCAAGGACATGGTTCTGGCTCCCAGCAGTATAGGAAATCAGAACAACAGCAAGCATGGTCGCACTTTAAGCAGGATGAAGCGGAATCCAAACGTATGTGGGAAGAGCACATGGAAGAAATGGTATGTAAGATTAATATCTTAAGACCTTCTGAGATATTTTTACTGATTACCTTCAAGTAAGAAGTGTACCGCTAAGTCCGGCTTTGGATTTTCTTCTAACCCTGCCCTCGATTTATATACCGAGCTCATGAGGACACCGAAGGTGCATCCACACGAAAAAGTTGGGATTCTGGTTGCAAAAAGGCGCAGAACATTGTTCGGTTGCCCACATCTTAACAGACACAAGGTTCTAAAATGTACTATGTTTGGCCTCCGAGACGGTATGCAAGAGATTCTAGAGAAGCGCAGTCTTAATTATAACTATATCCCTTTAAGAATGTCACCGTATCTTCTTTCGTCAGGAACGCATAAGAAGAAGGCAAGAAGCTTTTGACCGGGAGAGGATGCGCACGAAGAGAAATTATGAGTCCTGGCAAGAGCGTCACGGTGACAAATGGGAGTGGAAATGGCATGGCAATAAGTGGGAATGGCAGGGTGAAGCTGAACGTCGCCGGGCCGCAGAGGGAAGGAATGATTGGTGGCGTGATGCTCAAGGTCAGAAGAGTAAGAGTCGAAAAGACTCACCTCCATCTGTTAGTACTGCAGAACATTATGATGTTCTAGGCCTTGATGTCTCGAGGTCTCCACCATATACTGAGGCCGAGATCAAAGCTGCCTTTCGTGCGAAGGCCTTGGAGTTACACCCGGACCAGAATCAAAGTAACAAGGAAGAAGCAGAGGCAAAATTTCGACATGTAATGGATGCTTATAATGCTTTGCGCTCCAAGCCCAGTTAGTTGTTCAATGCCTGGTGTACGGTTGCCAAGTTGGAGTTGAGTTTGATAATGAAACTCATTATTTTGGCCTTTTCATCTTGCAGTGATGTGACATCAGCTTCTACACTCATATCACATCCAGAAAGAGCTGTTTAGAGCGCAAATTGCAGCATTGATGCATGTCCATTTATTACTGATGCATTCGGCGGAAACTGCCATCTGTTCCTCTTTATCCTCATTTTATAAACCGAAGAGGGCTTTGCCCTGGTGCAGTCTAGATCAGAATCTTCCTTCCATCTGTTGACCTCTTCTTTATGTCTGGATAGGTGTGGATGAAGAGGGGATACTCCCGGTCGGGTTTTCACAACTGCACAAATGAAGCCGCTCGTTCGTATTGTATCTTCCCAGTTTTTAAATGGTTTTTGACTTATATTTGTGAATCATATATGGGATATATACTATCACGACTGTTGGTCAAATACCATTTTTGAAGCACATTTTCTTCTCATTCTGTCCAACTCGTGTCTTCAAATTCTTTTTTAGTTGCTATTTGTTAGTGTGCGTTGGAAGTTTTACATCTTCGAAGTGTGAATTTTCTCTGAAAACATTTGGTCAATCCGCTGTTTATCAAAGCGGAAGTGAGATTTGATTTGGAAGTTTCACGCACTTGACTCCCGTAGAGCCGTACACTTTATTAACTCCTTATTCTCCGACGCCGGACCCCTAGGGTAGTGTTTCGTTTTGGAACAAGTTTGTCATATGTGTTCTCCACTTCTTGGCATGGGAGACTTTTGGCCTCGAGACCATTATCTTTACAAGATAACGGCCAAACGAGACCGATATATTGCCATGACTTTGCCTGTTAATCTCGTTCGTGGAATCAAATCACGTTTATCTTGAAAGGAAGTAACCGTAGTACTAGAATAGGCTAGTTTCTAACCTGGTAAGTACTTCTTGTTTTCGGTGTGTAGTTGCACCAGTAATTCTTACAGTTCTCAAACATCAGGTATCGTAGTTAGCCCTGCAGTCGATAATTCACCCACTGATACCATCTTGCTCTCTTTATGCAAATAATCAATGTCTTTGCTTGTTATCATTGTTACCAGATTGTACTAGTTCTCAAGCTATAGAATTACCTTGGAAATTCCTTCTTGAAGTTACACATACCACTATCTGCATGAACCTTTACATGATATGTATGCATGGTTGAAATCTCCACACGCTCGTGAAAGAACTAATAGTAAATACGTTGATATGTAGGAATAACTCATTGTGAATACTGTTAAGAGTAGATCTTACTTTCTACTCGTTAGATAATCTGAGTGAAATTCTATTTATTACCAAATTACCAGTGAGAAAGATGCAAGATTTCTAACCTTCAACAAAAATATATATCTCGGAAGTAAAATTGATTTTAGATTCTATTTTCTTGGCTATTTAGATTCGAATGATAATCATAAACGATCAAATGACTGTAACCTTTATTTCTTTAAAGGTAGAATAATTATCATATGAATTGTTGTATTGAATATACTAAACCAAATTTTATAAATAGGAAGAGTAGATTGTGTCAACGCACGGCTACTTCTTGTAACAATGTTTGACTGAAGAGATTAACCAGAACATCTTGCTGGAACATTTTAAGAATGATATGAAGGGTTAAATTTTATTGTTGAAAGTACACTTAAGATCGTTCATAAATGTATTGATAAAAGTGAATTCGTTATCTTGAAGATTTGAGTCTATGTTTGATACAGCCGCTTTTTGATTGATATATTATTTATTTTAAGTTTAAAAAGAAGCACACAAAGATAAAAATGTATGTTTCTAGATGAGTTCGATGAATCATCACACAACAATATATATATATAATAGAGAGTATTCTTGACATTATGAACTCCAATGTAAAATTACAATTTGGTTAAACTCTAGTAGGATATCATATTCATAATATTATGAAATTTGACAATACAATATATTATATATTTTAAAAATATTATTTTTTTCAACAGTATAATGTAAATTTGAGTTTCACAAACTATCAGTTTCATTTCAAGGTTTGAAAATATGTATCTCTTCAACACGAATGATGAGTTTCAGTATGTATAGATTTTGAAATTACATGCGTCTAATTCACTTCAAGACAAGTTTCATCCTGCAGAAAAATTAATCTGTTAATGATCGTTTGTTTCTTACATTTCAATCGATATCAAATTTAGAAAATACCTGAATTTTCGAAAAGAATAATACCTTCATTTTGACATGGATAATAGTTTGTTCTACTAAAATCAAAATTTTTGAAATTATTTAACAAAAGATGAGGAGGTATATTCTATGCAATTTTTACTTATGAACATCCATAATTTATCATACATAAAATAAATTTTGATGGGGATGAAGTGGGAAAAAAACTATGTATTGGCATCATAGAGCATAATTGTTATCGTGGGAATATTACCCTATTTTTTGTTGAATGTTACATTTGCTGGAAACTATCCACTTGCTTTGCCACAATAAACTCTTTTAAACTTGCCAATTTTGCTACATATTCAAAGTACCACAATTTTGAAGTTTGGAGATTTTTTTCTCAACTTGAATGACTTTACGATGACACTTGTCATCATCAAAGGAATTTTTGCTATTCAAGTGCTCTGTTCACAAATCATTCTTTAGATCAGAGGATGCCATCATTAGTCAGCAAGATGTACTTCAATTTGATTCTTCTACATTGTCTAGACATCTGGTGACACATCTGCATGCACTTGAATATTCTTAGACCTAAGAGAGAAAGATTAAGGAAAGATTAAGGAAAGAATCAAAAGAAGCTAACCATAATAACACACTGATAGGGACTCAACCATGGTTGGAATTTTTGTTTGTTCAAGTTTGGTGCCTTCTAAAGTTGAAAGGTTTTCTATGAGAGTCTTGGTTTGCTTCGTTGAGTGTTAGAATTCTTAAAATTCAGAGATTTTGTTACTCAAGCACTTGTGAGTAGTGTTACAAAAGTGTCTAACCTAACTTTGGATTAGACTCTAGAGATACTTGGACGAGTACTCTACATTAGACTACAATAGAAGATTTTAAAACTCGATTGTGGAGTAGAATGTGTATCAACAAGCGACAACAAAATCATTGCTTAATATTGAGATATGTATTTCAAAAAGTATACATATTGACCTCGTTGTTAGGAAATCCTTTAGTTAGCATATTGACAGATAAGCACGATGGACACTTCCAAGGACAATGTGTTCATGTTAATCATGTCGTTGTTCCCATACACTATTTTCTTATATTATAGTAACATTATTGTAACAAAATATAACGATATTTGTTTTACATTAGGATTGGTTTAATGAATGTTAATGTTTTAGTATGAACAAATTTGGGAACTTGTGTATTCGATCATCTCATGAGCACGGTCAAGTTCATTACTGTAGTGTCACACGGTTGAAATCACTAGAGCCACATCACACTAATCAATTATCCACCTCATTTACTCCAACGCTTCCTAATTAAGGTCTCGAAAAAGGGACTACTTAGTCAGTCAGATGATTCATAAATTCCGAATCAGTATTTCTGGCCCAGCAAAATCAAAGGCTAAGATCTCGAGAAAAGAGGCCACATGGATATAAATGTGGAGAAGATGTGAGCATACATGCGATTTATCAATTAAAAGTAAAGCTTTTGTGAAGCTCTCATTAGAATGAAAACAAAGGCTCAAATAACGCTCATCGACCAGTTCGTGCGCGGCCTCCAGAAGCTCTCGTGAGGGAAAGGGAAAGGGACGTGGATGGCCCGAATCCTTCCGCTGGCCGGGTCGTAACTGTAGAACATGCACATTTCTCTACTGTACCTAGCTACGATCTCACACAGAATGCACTCTCTCGCGGAAAAATCTTCCGTAGCCTGTTCATCGATGCTGGCTATGAGCTGACGTTTTAGATGGACCTCCGAATGCTGACCGTATAGATTTCAGCAACCTTGTGCAATCAAGGGACAGAAACGGAATTACTGGACAGGAAAATAACGCCAAGTGAAGGCTTATACGTACACGGGAAGGGATACTCTCTCGTCCATTCTTTGACCGAAGAACATGTGAATTGTGTACCTTGGCACCCGGTGACCGACCTCCGGGACGGGACAGTAGGCTTGGCCACGGTCCGGACCGACGGTTAACCGGTTAGACCGGTTAACCGGTCCCAGATTTCTCCTTGCCAGGGAAAAAATTTCCTCTGGCAGCAGAATTAGACCAGCGAGCCTCGCTGGTCTAATTCTGCTGCAAATAAATAAGTAAAATTTTTTATCACCCAATTCGATAAGTGTATAATCCCTAGCATAAATCTCGAGCTCGGATGTGTTTCTCCAGCTTCCCTGCACCTGGCGCAAAGTCGAAGTCTCTCCAATTCGAGAGCGTTTTCATCCGGGAGGATTTTCAACAGTCCAAGTGGGGGCTCATTTGAGTACTCGAGCTATTGCGCAATTCCTCCTTCGCTCCCGGCCACAGCCCCTCCCGTCGGCCACGTAGGGTCGGGACAGATGGTTAACCGGTTAAAACCTCGGTTAACCGTTAACCGATATGGCAAAATGCCGGACCGGTTAACTTACCGGTTAACCGGTCCGCACATTTCCCGGACCGGTTAACCGGACCGTGGCCAAGCCTACGGGACAGCAGAAGACCTCGACCACGGCGGGAATGACCGGCTCCACCGACGATCGCCAAGTCTCATGCGCCGAGTTCGTCTGGATGCTCGGTGGTATCGAGCGCCGCCGTGAAGGGAATGAAGGACGGGCGAGGCTCCAAGAGCGACGATGGTTCCACTAGACTTCCCGAGCGGTGTCGAGTCTCTGGACCTCGTTGTTCTCGACGGCCTGCTGAGGACGGTCACGTCGATGAATTCACCAGCAGATGTCAGGTTTCCTCAGGCAAATCCCGCTCAGGCTTTTCCGGTCCTGCCAGGGAACTGCCAGGGAGATAATAACGAAGCGTTATCGGATTTTTGGATTGGATATAGCTGGCCTTCGATGGTGACTTGGCCAGTAAAGCGATTGAAATCATCAGACTCAGTTTGCAGCATGTTGCGTGTGAGTTCACCTGTTTTGAAAATCAGGGACAAGGGCAGGTGTTATACTGCAGTAATTGGTTTTAAGACTTGACAAATACATAGTGTGTGTGTCCTCTAAACTAACAAAGTACGTGCTGCCGATTTCTCGAGGGAAAATGTGATCACGAGATAACCCATTAGTGGGATAGTAGGGGACGACCAAATAAACAACCCATTTTAAAAAATCACTATTTCAATGCTCATTGTTAGAATATCCACCTCCAATAGTGCAATGTTGGAATGGGCAGAGGTTATTATTCTCTACAACTTCATTTGGATTCAACATTTTTTTCACATGTCATGCATGCGTAAGCATATCATACATTTTCAGCA